ATTTTATTTGGAAATCACTTTGGGATGCAGCTGAGGTTTCTGTTTGCTCTGCCCAGCTCGCTCCCTCCCTGTCTCTCTCTCTCCCTGCCTGCGCCAAGCTCTCCATCTCTTTCCTGCCCTTCGAGTTGCTAACAAGAACGAAAGACTTAAGCAGCGAACTTGAAATGACTTTAGCATGCGGCGGCGTTGGCTTTAATGAGCTGAAAGTTGAAGCTGCGACTGAGGATGAGGCTTAAGGAGTATGGAGACTTTGGCGGAGTGTGCGTGACACTTGACTCTAGGGCAGGTCCGCGGGAAACACGAAAAAAAAACCTTTTCAAAGAAAAACTTTTTGTATCGTTTCTTTTTTTTTTTGCCACGACATGGCATTGTTGTATATGTTTCGAAGTCATTGCCTGCCTAGCGGCGGTTGTTGTTACTTTTCTGTTTCTGCTGCATTCAAAATTATAAACAAATTTTTTTGCTGCCGCTGTTGTTGCTGCCGTGGAGCGTATAACAACAAACAATCGCATGCAATGTACAAATTTTCCAAGCACAATGAAAAACGCCACCGACAGCGGCACTGGCGGCAGCAGCAACAACAATGCGGAGAGTTTATAATAACAATAATAAAATGAAAATGCTACGGCCGGCAAGTTGCGTAATCCGTCAACCATGGCAGTCAAAAGAGCATGGAGAGGGGGGCTTGGGCGGGGGGCAGGGGTTTGGGAACTGAGCGGCAGAAACCGCTGAAGAAATATGCTGATGTTGTGCTTGGAGGACTTGTAGAAGGAGGAGTGGGAGGACGGTGGGAGATGGGAGTACACGGGGAGGCGGTATCGTCTTCTTCTGCTTTTGGGGGGTGGGCCTCCAAAGCACGCAACTGCCAAAGGAATCTGTTGCAGCTGCAAATGCAACTGCAGCACTCGGTCTTGAAACAAACGCTCCACGAAGTATTGATGTAGAAATTGAAGCAGAATTTTCGCAAAACACCTTTTTAGCCACAAAGAAATATACATCTTTTGAGTTAGCTCTTTGCTTTTACTTTTGAGTTGGCTTTTTTGTTTCTCAAAGATAAAATCATCATAAACATGGGCTTACCAGCAGCCACAGCAGCAACAAAATCAAAAGTGCCACGCGGCTGTTGCTTTTTTTTATGAATGACTGACCGACAGAGCGACGCTGAGTGAGTTATACTGGCCGAAAGCACTTGTTGCGCCAACAAACTTGTACAGCAGCTTCACTACCAACAGCAGCAGCAACAGCAACAGCAACAACAACGCTACTTGCCGTCGCCGGCTGTTGACGAACAACTTCAGCGACAAGATCATAAATCAAAATTTTATTTTATTTCGCGCAGCAGCTCAGATTTGAACCTCTCTCTTTCTATCGTCTATTTAAATTTTTATGGTTTTTGGTGTTTTTTTTTTTATTTAGCTTTGTTTAGCTTTGCTTTTACGATTTTTCTCTTGTGCATAAATTAAAATCACCGCGCGGGTTGCACGCGTTTTACTGGCGATTGCAGCGCGATTAAAACCGTTCGGTCGGACGGCGCGTGCGGCAGTCGCCGAAAGGAAAGTTGTTGGCCATAAAAGCTGGATAAACGGTTTGAATGAAAGTGATCGGGGTAATGAAAATCAGGGACATGTGCTCACGTATATGTTTTGTGTTTTCCGCCGCATTTGGCGCCTCCGAGATCGATAATCGTTTGGGCCTGCAATCAGAGATCCTGGCCATTAATCAGCGACTAAGACAATGCTCGTGTCGCTCTCAGGCTGTTCTGCGATCGCATTCGATCGCGTTCGAGTATAACTCAAAGCCATCGAGGAAAAAAGAAGCCGCCGAAAATTGTTTTCATGTCGACCGCTTAGGGGCAGCAAATTGAAATTTCTCGCACCAAAAATGTGCAGAAAAAATGCTAAAATCTTGTTGCATGGAATTTATGAATGAAAACCAAGGCAGCGGCAGCCGCTGCGGAGGAACATAACAAGCTACAAGCTGAGAACAATGAGGGGAAAACTCCGACTCCAACTCTGGCTCCTCTTGGCAGCCATAAATTTGTGGCAGCAACTGTGACTACAAAACTGAGACCATTTCGTGGCAAGCCATTTGCTGTTTTTGTTGCTGCCGCAAGGAAAAGCTATAAACATTTTTTCTGCCTTTTAGCCAGGCCTTGTTGGCGGGTCGCGATGGAAATGCATTTGCAGAAGCCCCAAACCAGCCGGAGGAAGAACTTTGGATACCCTCATGACCTTTGAAACTAAGTGATTCCTAAACTTCAAGAGTGTTAAGGGGGAGTGGTTGCCTATTTGAAGCCATATTAAAGGATAGATTAGATAAAACTTTACTTGACTGATTAGAGTATTAGAGTGGTGGCTCTAATCCCCACTCGTTAGTCGGATGACTCAGTCTCCCATGGTCCGTTTTTTGGGCGGCGTCGGCTGTCATTAGGCCAAGGCATCGGTGTCCGAGGCATCTTCAGTGTTTACCTAAGTTACTCGTATTCCCCGGTTGGACGGCTAATAAAGTCGTAAGTTTTGGGGTGTAGGGTCGGGATCCTCCCCGTAGTTTCATCTTGGCAGGGGGCGTTTGGCTTGTTGGTTTATGATTTAGCAGTGAAAAGCGAAAAACCCGACTGACTTACGTCTTTTCCGTGAAAAGCGAAAAACTCTGGTCCGTCCCAAAGCTCCCACACAAATCAATCGATGGGCTGGAGAGCTGGAGCTAGAGCTGGACTCGGTTTGGCGCGGCTTTTCTGTTCGATTGCTTATCGTTTTCCCACGTTTTAAATGCTCACCTGTCAAACGAATTAGAGCCTGGCCAGTGCCTGGGACACATTTGGCAATGCCCCGGAGAACCAGTTGTGGCCAGTTCACGCAGGTGTCTCCCCCGAGTGCCCCCCAAGTCTGAGCTCTTTCCGAGTGAGTTTTACCGCTCCAACGGCGGCAGGCAGCCCGCAATTAGAAAGCCCGAGTCCGCAGTGTCCACTGGGGATGGACGCTGTGGAAGCGTCATAAAACTCATCTGAAATCTGCAAACTGCCCCTGACTCCGTCCAGACTCTCCGCTAGACATCAATTCGGTGCTCAGTGCGTTCGGCTGCATAAATTATATGCCAAGTGACACATTGCGGAAGCGATCAAGCAAGTGTTGCGGCTCCGACCATCTGACTATCGAGTCGAAGTCGAAGTAGGTTAAAAGGATAAAGATGAATACTCGGTCGGTCGGTCGTTCGGTCCAGTGTAGTGGCTACGGTGACATGCTAATTTCTTGTCGTTTCTGTTTTTTTTTTTTGCCATATTTGTCCATATGAAAGTGGTACAGAAACAGAAACTCCGGCTGGAAGAGGGGACACCATAAGGCTGATTGACATTTGACAGGCTGTCCGTCTCCGTCTCAGTCTCTGATCGAAAGACACTTTTACTTTCAGGCTCGCTTTTTGTGGCCAGGGCTTCTAGCAACTTGTTGAGTTGATACTTTGCTTATCGGGTTTGTATATTTTGTTTTCATGTTTCGAGATTTGTTAAGCCGACAATTGAAAGGCTGCTGGCCATTAGTTTTGACATTTGCTTAGCTTTGTGATTTGGCCAAATCAGAATCAAACACCTAGTTCCAGTGACGAAGCGCTTGATTAAAACACATTTTTCAAACAGTAGGCACTCATTATGGCTATTTATTTTTGGGCAGAACCTCGACAATATTTTATCATTGAGCGCAGATTTCTCGCTTGACCTACCTTGCGTAACGTCTAGTCTCTAGAGGGCTTTGTTTGAGGGAAGTGGATTTCGGGCCAAAGATTTTCAACACTTTTGGGTATAGTCTCGACCATCAGTTAGTGCCTTGGAGGAATAGGATGGTGATCTACTGATCTAACTCCTATTCTCAGGCTTTGGAATACCCAGATGGGGACCTCGACTCACCTCTCTGAATGAGGTGCCGGTGCCAGTTGGACAAAACGCTTCGCGCTTCATTGGGCGCCCAAATGAAAACGAAATTTCGCTTTTGAATTTCGGCTACTGTGGCAATGTCAATGATCCGACAGTGGATTAGCCCGTTCCACACTTAATTCTGGTAGCTATCGGATAATTGAGATCGATGGGTGGAATGTACATAAAAGCCGAGTCTCCTCAGTTTTATGTTTGAGCAGCGAAGAAAAAACAGCCAAATATACATAAAAAAAAAGCAGCAAAGTCAGTGAAATTCGCTAGAGCGGCGCTACAAAAATCCAACCAACCGCGAAGAACGACCTTGAGCAAGTCTGGCCCGCCAGGCGGGTTTGTAAGTACATACAGATAGCTGTTTCTATGTACTATCTGATATACTATAGGTATATGGATAAAATACTGATGGAGTGATGTATGGAGTCCATGGCAGAGTCAACGTGCAAGATTGCAACCCGCAGATAGTCGGAAAGTGCGCATAAACGGCATTAGATACGCGCTGTTACTTGTATCTTGTATCTATATTTATACACCGGCCTGACTCAGAGGCTCAGATTTGGATTCAGCAAGCTGGCTTTCAAAGTGAAGTGCTCGCCGTGGCTCACAGCTCAGCGCACAATTAGTTCTACGAGCAGCTGGGGCTCGTAGTATCTGAAGCTCTGAAACTGAAAGTATCTGCGCGATACATTTCGGCTGCCTTCAGTCAAGTGTTCAAGTGTTTGCTTTGCATTCGTCCCGCGGCACCAGCTTCGCGGCAGTGAGTGATGAAATAGGTTTTTGGAGCTGCACCGCTATACGCGAGTATCTCTCAGATACCTGCCGCCGCACATGTGTCGCACGCTGCCAAAATCCATAGTTTATAGAGCCATTTTCCTGCCAGCCGCTTTTCACAAGCGCTCACTCTTAATTTCAACTGAAAAGCTGTTTGAAAAGCTGCCAACGCCACCAGCAGTATCTGCGGACAGTAATGTATCTGTTAACTAAGGATGCTGTCGTTTTGCATTAGTTCTCTCTAATCTCTAATCGCTAATCCGCACTACTTAGGCTAATTCATAAACCCACCTTTTGCTCTATATTGCAGGTGAAAATCTGGTTCCAGAACCGACGCTCCAAGTACAAAAAGATGATGAAGGCGGCCCAGGGACCGGGCACCAACAGCGGCATGCCCCTTGGCGGAGGTGGGCCGAATCCCGGCCAGCATAGTCCCAATCAAATGCAAGGTGGTAAGTTAATCTCAAAATTCAGACGAAAGACATCCCTCAGTATCATCTATCCCATTTTCAGGCGGTAATAACGGCGGTGGCTCCAACAGCGGCTCACCCTCACATTATCTACATCCCGGACATAGTCCAACGCCATCGAGTACTCCTGTGTCCGAGCTTTCGCCTGGTAGGTCTACCAACTTTCTCAATCCCTTGAACTTTGTAACGAATAGTCTCCCCACTCTGTAGAATTCCCACCAACGGGTCTCAGTCCGCCCACGCAAGCGCCGTGGGACCAGAAGCCGCACTGGATCGACCACAAGCCACCGCCCCAGATGACGCCCCAGCCACCGCATCCGGCGGCAGCGGCGCTACATCCGCAAACGCACCACCACAACCCGCCGCCCCAGATGGGTGGCTATGTGCCCCAGTACTGGTACCAGCCCGAGACGAATCCCTCATTAGTGACGTAAGTAGTCCTAGCCTTCTGCTCCCCGACTTAGACATGAATCTAATCCCTTCCGCTTCCCCTGTTTATTCTGAATCCGTAGGGTGTGGCCGGCGGTCTAACAGCATCCGAATCAGCTGCCCTCGGCTGCCTGGAGCCTAGAGCACCTGGAGCATCTGGAGCAGCAGCATCCCCTCCAGCAGCCCCCCTGCCCGGACCTGGGGCTGGACCATCAGCAGCAGTACCTGCTTCAGGGGGGCGGCGGGCCAGTGCATCCGCACGCGATATCTTAGCCAATACGAACCATGATAGCAACTGTAAAATACACATGAAAAAACCAATTGAGATACAAGCTGGCAGAGAACTGGCGAGTGGCAAGTGGCAACTGGCAAGTTTGGGCGGAAACATTTTGTACATTTTAAAATTGATCTACATTTACACAACGTGAATAAAGTCGTTCTAAAGTAGAAGTCTAGCTAAGAACAAACACAACACAAAGGGAGATCCATTCTGGAAGCAGAATACAGAATTCCTCAACCACAAGAGCAGCAATGAGAGTATGAAACGTGTCCTTTAATTTGGTTAATTTAGCGAAATAACTATGTATAATATATCTATATTAATAACTATGTGTAGTGAGCAAACCACAAAATATGAAATACGTAAAATACAAAAAATCATAAATAAAATACAAATAAACGAAAATCAGCTGTTGATCTTAAAGGAGTTTCTTTTCCAATGCTCTTAAATGTACTTTTGATGGAGCAACAAAATCAGTAAAGTCAGATCTCAAATGCAAAAGAATAATCCTCTTGATTTTGAATTTTTTTTTCTAGTTTTCTCGTTTGTTTTTAATGCCTAATAATTTGATGAAAAAGCACCTCAAATTCGTTCTCTTACGTGCAATATGTAATTTTATTTCACAAGTTTTCCGCATTTATGTTGAAGTCGAAACGGATCTCCTGGGAAGACAGGATCCTGGGAAGAATTGTAAATTTTTGTATAGAGATAAAAAAAGATATACGATCCTGCATAGAGTCCTTCCTCGATTGAAACCCTACTAAGAATCCAATCACATCCAATATCGAGGCGCACTCGGCGCTCTGAGCTTGCTTTAGCTGTAATTATGGTTTAAAACATACTCTAGTTTAAGTGGTAATTAGTGCGTGTGTTTCACTCTAGTTTAATTTACAACAAAACCAACACCAACAACAAAAACAAAAACAAGAGAAACAGCAGTAACAACAACCTAAAATAATAATAAATTAATTGATAGTTTAACAACTACTCTGCGAGTGCGTGTGTGAATGCCTGTGTATGGAGCTGTGTGTGTAAAATAATAATAAAAAAGAAGCATTAATTAAAACAAAATTAAATAAAAAGTAACATTCAAAGAGAACACAAATCTATTTAGAGCCCAAGACGTAAGAAACAAGAACCTTATGTGCTAGCATTTAATTAATTAGTTTTAATCTAGAAAATGGCAAATACAAATCACAGACGAAGCCTAGCGACCCCTCCCAATGACCTCTCCCCTCCCCACACCCATTTGATTTCTAGTAATATATGTAATTTTCAAATTAAATCAAATCAAACAAAGAAAAAAGCCAGAAAACTCAATAAAATGTAAAGAAAATTAAACGACAAAAGTGACTTGTTTCGGAGCGGGGGAGGCCACTTTCAGGGACATTGGCTGTTGTTTTCGAGGACGGCGAGGGGAGACCGCCAGCAGGGAGGGGGCAGGGAGGAAGAGGCATTAATGCATTACACTTGAAAAAGTTAAGCGGCGCGATATCTGCCAGTGGAGTGCACACAGCGAGTGTATCTGCGCGTGGAAGTGCGGAAGGAAGCTGTTCCATTAATCATAAAGGAACGCCACAGGATGTGCTCGAGTCGGGCGGGCTTTTACAGGCTCAATGAATGGTTCCATTATGTCCTCGAGGCGACACCGTTTCGCAGGACTATCTGCGAGTGTCTCAGCCCTGGTGGGAGGGGGAGGCCAGCGGCAGGCGTCAGCCGGCAGGAAGCGTGAGTTACAAAAAGCTTTAAACGAGCAAGTTGGCATATGTAGCCCTTTAATTAGCTGATGGTATAACTAAAGACAAAATGCCCAGCTAAGATACATAATAAACAAGTCCTGTTCGAATCATCTCCTTCGATTCTCAAGACATCTCAAGCCTGGCGGAGTCAATCACCGCTGGATTTGCCGAGAGCTCTTCAGGGCAAAAACGAGATGCGAGACAGGCCTCAAGGCAGCCTTCAGGTGCTGCTCACTATGTTGCGGACTTGTGCCTGTCCGGCCTCATTAAATCAACACCTCTCCGACCCGGCCGAAACACAATGGCCTGGCCGAGGACCGAGGAATGCCAGCTCTTTGGAGCACTTTGCATTTGCGAGCGCTTTTTGCGATTTCAATTTAAAATTTCAGCCGGGAATTCAGCCGGGGACTCGGACCCAGTGGCTTCTAATTGGGGGCGACGTGGCAGGGGCGAGGGCGAGGGCGTCCGGCTAGGACTGTACTTAGAGTGTTTACATAAATTAGCAGCGGGCAGCAGGTAGGAGCTGCAGAGCAGTTCAGAGGCTGAGGCAGTCACAGAGCCTGAAGCCTGAAGCCTGAAACCAGAAGCCAAAAGCCAGAGAATCCAGGAATTTCCTTGTAAAAATGACGCATACCAAACTTAGACACAACGGGGACATCCAGCGTTGCTTGGCTGTCATTCGACTGCCTGCGTTCCGAACGGTCCAGCAAGGTCCGTGTCAACGCCAAGTCCCAGATCCCAGCTACCCAGTTCCCAGTTTCAGCTTCGGATTCAGCTCAAGCTTCAAGCCGAAATTGGTAGTGGTGCGTCCTCTCGTTCAATAAATAACAGCCAGTCAGCGGGGGAAAATAAAAAAGAGCAGAGGAGCAGTTGAAGTTATTTGTGAAATTTATCCGTCAAAGTCGCGGCATGGTCCTGGTTCTGTTTCTGTTTCTGTTTGTGATTCTGGGGCTCTGGGATGCTCCAGTGCCAGGCTCAGCCCCAAACAGAAGCCAAAACCCAGGCCAGACATTGGGTCTTTGGCGTAAAACTTGAAAAGCGTTCCTTTCATGGCTTTGGCCCATTGTCTTGAGCTCGGCTACTGGTCATGCATAGCTCCCTCCGATCCCTATCCCATCCGATCCACCCCAGACCCCCCGCCTCCTGCCGAGCTGCATTCCTGCGCACCGTCCTCTCGGAATGATGAACGATGTGTCGCTGATGACCTGATCAAAGTGGAGCATCTGCACGCATATCGATTGCAGAGCACTGGACCAAGCCAAAGCCCAAAACCAGAAGCCAAAGCCAAAACAAAGCCCAAAGTTCTTTTTCCGAGGCTCCAAGGATGTGGCTGGCTGTGGCTGTGTTGCAATGTTCATGGGGACATGACATTTTTTGTCGTACCGTTTGCTAAAATAACTTTGTTAAGATTTTTGCAACTCGCTATGGGCTCTGCTGGCCTTTGAAACGAACCAGACCCGATCGAAAAACAGTCCGAAAAAAACAACAGGGAAAAAGGACAAATTTGATGTGGCAGGCAGGGCGGGGCAGGGAGTCACTGGGACTCGCAGAGACTGCATTTTCAATGAGCCAGCATAAATCTTGGCCACGACACAGAGCCGCAGAGTAGTCGCTCTGCTGTCGCTGACCGATTTTATGACAAATGTATTTTATGAACTGTCAAAATAGGTGTTGAAAATGAATTAATTTGCCTCGCTGGCACTCTCTGACTGACATTTGGCGGCAACATCAGACTCGTACTGCGTAAGGTCGGCTGGCTGACATGTAACAGAGGTGCGGAGTGACGGTGCCGGAGTGGGTTTGTGTAACCGAGACCCCGGGTATAGTAAGTCGGGCACTTCAGCTGCGCCTGCGCAGAGCTGCGAAACCCGAAACTGGCAATTACGTTTGGCCTGCTTTTTATTTCGGCCTAGCCGAGTGTCTCTCGATTGTCGCGCATTCACGAATCCGCTAATTTAATCAGCCGGGGCGTGGCAGGAGGCACGTGACAAGCGGCAGGCGGCAGCTGCCCGCTAACGGCAAAAATGCCTCCCTAATGCAGATATTATCAGGTTCATATTGCCTATTTTCCAGGGTCGAGAATCCCTTGAGATGCCGTGGGTGGGGAAGAGACAAAGTCCATTTGCAAGTCAAGGAAGTGTAAGCAATATCTGGATTTTATTGCGACACATTTTTAGCCAACTGCCCTGGCCAACTGCACTAGCCCGAATACTTATTCTGTGCAACCTAATCTTTTATTTATGGCCAGTGACATTAGAGGGGGCTGCGCAGCATACGATTACCGGTGAGTGATCGGAGTGATCGGAGTGATCGGATGACGTTTTCATAAATACATAAATAAATGTTAAGAATACATAAATAATAAGAAGTGCGCAGCCCAAGTGCGACCAGTTGCGAGGCTTTCCCAGGCGTGAAACGCGTTTCTGTTTTGTTACTTACTTGCTGTTTTCTGTTTTCAGTCCGCGACGCAGCCTCATGTTTAATGCGAAAGTGGCCAAGATCAGGACCAGGACAGCGAGCTGGATGTGTTGGCCGCGACACCTAACACCAGTCACCAGTCACCATTCAGCCGCCTAGCCAGGCTCTGGGGACAGCGCACTGTGGCATACGCAATAAACACATTAACGCGTTATTTAGTTGTCAACATGGCCAGGAAGCTGGCTTTGATTGCGGCCGCATAGCCGGCGAGAATAGCTTCCATCTGCCTGGCACTTTTGCCTAAATTAACGAAACTTCACCCTTTTGGTTCAGCCCGCATTCGGACATGCTTTGAATTCTCGCCAATTGTGGGTGACCCCTGTTCCTTCTTTCCCTCGATCGGTGGATGACAAAGGAGCTGCTCCAGCCGGCGGAAAACAATGGACTGCTCGTCTGGATTGCGTCAAGTGGCGAGGCCCAAGTTCCCAGATCCCCGATCCAGTTGCCCCTTTCCAATGCCCAGTTCCCACTACCCAGCACTCTCTCTCTCTCTCTCTGTGATTCCCAGCTTTGCAAGCCAAAAGTGCCGCATCATCCGCCTGGCTTGAGATCGGCTGAGCTGGGGATATGTCATAAATTGATTGACCCAAGTGCTGGTCCAGCTCTTGGTGGGGAACTGTCTCCACCGTCTCCGCGGAGGCTCACAGAACTGATTTATGATTATTTCGCAGACAATTAAGACAAATAAAACGCAGCAACAAGCCAAATTCAATTAAATCCATTAACGGGGAGAACCTACGCCTCTGTATTGTTTGGTGCTGGGTCCCACAGTCTGGACAGTCTGGAGATCCGAAAAAGAAAGAAATCCCCGCACTCCCCCTTTCACTCTAACCGCAACAGCACAAAGGGACCTTTGAGCGGCTTGACCTCTGGAGGTCAATTAAATTGACTCGATTTGCGGACAACTGCCGAGCGGCGCTGAAACAATTCGATTACCACGAGAGGGGGTCGCAAGTGCCAGCAACAACAGTCGCCTGACGACATTCAGAGTCCGAGTCAGGTCCAAGAGTGTTTGGGCTAATCAAGATGTGGCTCATGCAAACGAGTTGAACCTAAGGTCACACACATTCGAGGCTTCAGCCGGCAGCCCCAAGTTGACAAATCAAACTGTTTGGATATCGTTGCGCTCCCGGGCTGACATCTCCAAGCAATCAATTGACTTTAGTCGCTTTATTAGTCAGAGAGGAG